TTATTGTCAATTTCTTGAACACGTTGAAGTAAGGTTTTTATCAAAGTGTTGTGATTAGTGTTTAGGCTTCAGAAAGTATTGGGTGTTTTGTCAATTTCTACATCTATATCGATGATTGGGATAATGCAAAAATTAGCTGTCTATATTTTATTTTTAATTTTTTGATCCTTTCAAGCTATTGGTTTTATTAGTGGTGATGCTTACTTATCGCATTTTGAATGCTTGTAATCAGCATAATATACAATTCTAATTTAAATTATGCAAAAACTAAGGAACTATTGTTTCATATTTTTTCATATATAAAATGAGATGTAACATCCCAGTAGTACAGTATTTGATTAAAAAAAAACTTTTTCTTAAACCAGTACATGGCAGGATATCATGTTTATATGTTGGGTAACAGATGGGAGAAAAAAAGCGTTGTTAATCAAATCTGGTTGAATCCTTGTAAATTGAGCGATAGTCATTCAAATAGATACAAATTTGAAAAAATGAGATATTGCCCCGACTCATATGGAAATGTTGTATATTGATTTTAAAACTAATTCCGCCCTTAATGCAATTTATCCGAATAAAATTTATCAGAATGAAATCTGAAATAACCGAGGGAGGCAAAAGAGAAAGAAACATTTATGATTTATTGCTTGCAATTACATGTACAATGGGAAATATTGTGTCCATGCTACATGTAGCTGTTTCGAAATTGCCAGGGAAATGCAAGATAAAAGAGGATTAAATATTTGATTTGCAGGAATATTGTCGGAAATCTGGAGTTATTCCAGCGAATGTTTTGACAAAAGAAGCGTCATGACATTCTGGTTTAAGCCCGAGGGACGGGGCTTGATGATAGAAGATTTCACAGTGGATAAATTTGAGTTCACAGGATAATAGGGGATGGGAAAAAGATAAAAATATGGGAGAAAAGAGAAGAAGAAGGAGAGCTGGCAAACAGAGGGAGAGATTAAGAGGGGGAGGGATTAAGAGGGGGAGAGATTAAGAGAGGGGGAGAGAAAGAGAATGATAGAGAGAGAGAGGGGGGAAGGGAGAGTAATGGAGAGATGGGAGTGGAAAGAGCAAGAGAGGGAGAGAGAAAGGGTGAGAGAGTGAGAAAGAACAAAATAAAGAGACAGAGAGAGAGAGAACACAAGATAGAGAGAAGAGAATGAAAAGTACTTTTTTCATTAGATTAGCCATATTTCTACTGAAAGTCTTGAGAAATCATGTAAAGATATCAGATATAAAATTTCATTTTTTAGAAAAGCTGTGTTAAAAAATACTTCAGACCTTTTACATTATCTCAAGGGACCGTTTTGAAAGCTGAAAGAGTAGAGAAAAGGGGAGTCCAAGACTTACAGAAGCCAATAAAGAAATCATATATTTTTTACACAGTTTATTTGAAGTCATGTACAGATATCAGACATGGAAAGTGACTACCCAGTACACATTTCCTTATTTTTAGTACAGATAACAAACGCACAGATGCAACTTCAAACATATCAGCTTTCCTCACGGGACCGTTCGGAAGGCAGAACGAAATAGATTCCAAGATTTATGAGAGCCAATTAGTGCATACGAGTGAGGAGTGCGTCTGCTTCATTAAGTAGAAGTTTGTTTGGATTCATGAAGGTCAAAACGACCTAATGAGAGATCACAATCTTGCTGTCAAGAAGGAGCAGAGTATTTTCTGATATAAATGGTATAGGTTTGCTAGATAGAGATTCAGTTCATGTAAATAACCAATTTCTTTCAGTCTCGATCATAAGTAGTCCTGGAGATGATTACAGTGTAAATTTCAATTTGATCGTGAAATTTTCCCAGTCCTTATCATAGAAAAATCATTCATAAATGTGATTAAAATTCAGCTTAATTTTTACTTTTTGCCAGTTAGGATCATGAGTAATCATGTGAGTGATTCTATTTTTTGTTAATGGTGAACATTTCTGTCTGGATTATGAATTATCATGGAAATGATTGAATCGAAACGTAATTATGATACTTCCCAAGTTTTCATTGTAAGTAATCATGAAAATGATGAAAGGTTAGCTGTATTGTGAATTTTCCAAGTACAGATAATCATAAATAATAAAGATAGTCAGATCTTGTCGTTAGGGCTCAATGTTAGATTAGACAACAATGCAATGAATGCATACATGTAGAATTAGCCAAATTTAATTTACTGCATCATTACTAAACTGTGTATCATGTGAGAAGAGGGGAAAACAATGATTTTGCCCTCCCCCCCCCCCCTTTTTTTGAAATAAAATAGATTATATCTATTTTTATACAGGGAAGTTCTTCATTTGGTCTTTGAAGGATAAATTTGAGGATGATATACATGTAGAACACATACAGAGGGAGAGATCCATTTCAATATCAGAGAGAGAGAGGGAAGGGTGATCAAACATTTGTGTACATATTGATATTTCTCTCTGCCATTTGTTTTCCCTCTTGTTCAACTGTTCTTCATCAAATAGATTGTAGGTTAATCACACAGGGTTGTCAATCAGATTAATAAACCTACATTACATTCAGGGAAATTTCATTAAGAAAGGATGAATTATGGAAATAAATCATCTAAATTAGAATTTAGAAGCAAAAAGTGTGCCAATGTTTGTTGACTTTCTCATACACTGCTTCTTGTTCTAAGAATCTGGGATCGCAGGCAGCGCAGGAAAGCGAAGAAAATTCTGTCACTCAAACTCCTTATTGGGCCTAATGTAATGACATTCTGCAGGGCACTGGGGATCGTAGTCTTCACCTCTCAGACTCTTTGATTATTTCATTCAAATATAGTAGAACATCAAACCGTTCCTAGATGTTTGTTAGAATGTTAAATTTGGTTGGTTTCACCAATCATGGACTCATAATTCTCATCTATGACCTACAAATGGATACGTCACTGTAGAGGAGTCGTATATACCGGCACTGAATTTTCTATAAAGTGAATCTATACATGTCAACAATGTTGCCCATATTGTACAAGCGGCCCTACATGTAGGACGATGTAGCATGCAGTCTAGTTTACAAGACTAACTGTACTATGCTTTAGCAAGTTCAATTCTCGGGTTATATGTTGCAGGGCATACAGCGAAGGGGTAATTTCTTAATGACTGCTGTATCGAAGACAACAAACAAAAGGGGGAAGTGTGGTTGTAGTCCTCTATGCAACCAAACTTGATTTTGTCTTTTGTTGTTAAGCCTAGATCTACAGTAGATGTCGAAGTGTTGGAGATGTTTCAATGGCATTTCACCTGCCTATAAAGACCATGATTTGTTTCCCTTGAAACGTTGCTTCTCATTGCAACATGTGTTGAAGAAAACCTGTGTATTAAGACCCACCTGCCTATAAAGACCATGATTTGTTTCCCTTGAAACGTTGCTTCTCATTGCAACATGTGTTGAAGAAAACCTGTGTCTTAAGACCCACCTGTCTATAAAGACCACGATTTGTTTCCCTTGAAACATTGCTTCTCATTGCAACATGTGTTGAAGAAAACCTGTGTATTAACACCCACCTGGCTATAAAGACTGCTGTTTGCGCCTACTATGGGCTATCTTTCTATGCAGGTTTCACTGTACATTGAAATTCTTGTAAATGTTGTTCACAGTTCACAGACATTATGGCGTCACACATGAGCCTGCTGGCTTTGAACAATTGCCCCCTGGATCTCAGTAAGCAATTCATTCTAGCTAATCGATCACATCGATCTGTGTGCTGTCTACTAAAAGAACATGAGCTTTCCTTTCAGATTGATCACTGTGAATGTTCAAGAACAGTGCTGTTCTCCTAGCAAAAAGTTTATGTGCTTAAGTAAACATTTAAGCTAACCGTGGAGGAAACCAGCATTTTGCTCAACTCCTTTTCTTGTTCTTGATTGATTCAAATGTTGTTGTTTTTCGTTACAAAGTGGCATTGTGAAACAGTAGGAAGGATTTAGACATGTAATAGATGGGTTATGAAAATGTAATATCTTTGTTTACCTTTCTGTTGGAAATGAAATACATATGAATTGAATTGAATTAAATGAGGAAAAGGAATACCGCTACAAACACTGAGGAATTCAATTGTTCATGAATTAGTCCTATTGTTTCTTTAAGATTGTGAGAGGGTGGATTTGGTTGACTAATACAAAGTATCTTTACCATTAAAGACATATTAACCAAACTCCTGGTAACCAAGGCTAGCTGAGAGCAAACGACGACATACGTCTTGAGTTAGTCTCCCACTGTGTGGAGGCTTGACCGCTAAACCGCGCTCAAATTAAATCCTAGTAAAGAAAGCGAGGAACTGTAATAATGCCCTCAGACGTATTATGCATGGGTTGATTGCCCGAGGAACTCACTTATTTCTCACCTTATGAGTAAGAAATTAGGGCAGAAGTGTTTTATTATCAATTTAGGATGCAGGGTAGTATTGCTGAATTGCTGATACTATAATTGATTGGGGTACACTAGACACTGTGATGTTTCGTTGGGGAATTCTCGGAGGAAAGTGACGATAAGTTGGTTACTTAAAATGTCAAACTCGATGGATCTAATAGCACGCTGCAATATTTGACACCGTTTCTGTTTGCAGTCTGTGTCCTTGCAAGAAGAATGGCCATTTTAGAATGTTGTTTATGAGTAGCATTACAACTATCACCACCATTATGCTTTTATTGTTATTAGTATAATTTAGAATAACCCTTCCATCTGATTCATGATGTTGATTTGAAATAGTTTCTTTAAGAACCCCATGTAAGTACCTTTCCTCTTGGAGATTCAGACATTTCAAGGAAGGGTGTCAAGTTTTAGATGCCGGTAGGCACTCACAGATTTTTACTTGTGATTAGCAATCACTATAAGCAAGCTGAACAGGTTTATAACAGTTTCCATTTTAGTGAACCACCCCCACCCCCTTCCTATTTTGCTACAATTTCCTTGTTGTTGATGCTGTTGATGTCGAAGTTGTTGTTATTTGTTGCTTTATTAAAAGATGATAATCATGAATAAAACTGACAATGAATCTATTGAGTATCTTACTAAAGATCAAGTCATTAATTTTTCTTCTTCTTCCACTCCTCTCTTCCAATCCTCCAGGTCGTATTTCTGCCGTCTCACCCCTCACATCAGACGGCGGACCCACCTACTCCCTCCAGATCAAGTCGTGCGACTGCAGCGGTCTCTGCAGTGAGACCATCCCCATCAACATTCACGTCTCGCAGCAGTGCCAGCCGGGCTGGAAGGGCGTGCCCAAGCGCATCGAGTACCTGCCGGGCTCAAAGGCCACCGCGTTGGCGCCCAAGGCCTTCCTGGACACCTGCGGACGTCTGGTGTGCAACTCGTCGTCGCTGACCACCACCGTGACTCTTCAGACCGATCATATCGGGTTCGGCTGCGACAGGGAGACCTATTCAACACAGTCGCAGCGCACGCTTTGCAGTAAGTTTGAAGATTGTACCATTCTTTCTTTCCTAATTCCTGTTCAGACATAATATTGTAAAACCACAATAATCTGCCACTGCAAAAATTGTACGTTAATGAAAGGGAGGTGGCAATATGTTAGGGTTTTAACAAAAAACATACCTACAAACATTAAAGAGTCCCTACTGTATGCGCATTCAATGATCCATCTTTTATATGACAAAGAAACCTGAAGTGCTTTTCATTTATATTTTGCTGCAGGTTTTGTCAAGTGATTAAGTGTGTAATTTCTAAATCTACCTTTATGATGCATGGAAAAGCAAGTTCAACATAAGGATGACAGGAGTTAGGTCTTCATGTACATGTATTTTACCTGTCTGGTGATGTTATATAAATGTTGCAAGTAATCGAGAGGGGTCGGTCTGGGTTTGAGAGTTGTAGCTTTTATGAAGTTTGCGATGAACTCTATTCAAGTCTTTAAATAAATGTAATATCTAATGATAACCGCCCCTCTTCTGTTCTCGCCGTTTCTGTCCCTCCCTCTCACCATTTTCTGTATAGATGCTGATGCAGGCACCTACGATCTCCTGCCCCGCCCCAATGCCGGCGAGCAGTGGACCAAGAAACTGACCTCGGACAATGGCAACGAGAGTGACCAGATCTACCAGTTTGATGGTGTCGAGGATGCGGTCATCGTTCCCGAGCAGTTTGCCCCGCCCAACAACCTGACCTCGACGTTCTCCATCTCCTTCTGGATGAAGCACCGAAACATCGTCGGTGGAGACCCGGAATACATCGTCTGCAAGTCAGACAGCAAAGGTGAGGGTCTTGATCAAAAAAAATTTAAAGCTCCACTGTACTACTTCTAGCTACTTGCTCCCTCTATATAGCAAACAATGCCTAAGCGGTACCTGTTGATCCCCCATGATCCTCTTTTGCTTATGTCAATTGAGAGCTGAGTTGATGACATTGCCACATGTCAGTGACCTTTCAGGGAGGTCTAATCCCCCCTGGCCAAACTAGTACAGACAGGCTTTAAAGAGTTTCCACTAGGAAGAATGATTTGGTCTCTAGGTGACTAGGTTTCTCAGAGCTTTTCTTTCGCCAAAGATACAGGGTTAGATTAGCACTGGATTTTTAAGGGTATGGATTTAGGGTTTGGGTTATATTGTTTGGTATAGTGTTTAGTCACAGAAGTGGTCTAATGGTCAGCTGGTAAGGTCCATTTAGGCCCATCAAGATAAAACATTGTAGTCATCTCTTCCATTTACGGGAAATTAAGGACAATCTGTCAATGTTCATGTAGATATTGTCTCGAGCATAAAATTATACTTGCATGGTGCATGCATGAATTTGTTACAGACAACTGTGTTGAATAGTGAACGAAAGAACTAGCAATTTCATAATGGCAAAGTATACTTCCTGATGCAGGAGTTAGATCATGGAAATGTTTTCTTTTAGATGCTACAAAATGCTTCTTACACGTTACGATGTTAATATGATATCATAAACATTTGCAAGGTGAAACTGTCCTGTCGTCTTGTTGGTTTAACATCTGTTGAGCATGGATAGACCCTGATGTAGAACAATTCCTGATTCTAGTTTCAGATAATAACCCCAAGGCTGATAGCAGCACCGATACTAGCCTATGCTCAAGTAACATGTGTCATATGGCTACCTTACAAGAGTTATTCCTTGAATTATTATTATTTCGCAGAAATGAATGTTTGAGAAGTAATATCGTCTGTTTGGAGCCAGAAGGGCGTTAAGTCCTATACTCCAACTCGGAAGTAACACCTTCTGGCTCTGAATGAAGGATAAGTGCTGTTGTCATTCACGGGAGGCACATTTGTGACATGCGAAACCTTCTTCACCCCAAAGGCACCGAGGAAGACAAAATCCGACTCTTGTGTTATAGACAAGGGTGTCGTTGACACACTCCACCAGAAGCCAAAATCTATCATTCCCTCTATATTTGGCAGGGGCTGTGGTGGGCGTTCACCTCCTAACACATGGATCCCTCCCAACACAAGTCTGAGGAGGGGTAAAGGGGGTTGCATGAAGGGGGATTAATGGGGGTGCGAGGACGGACGGATGCTTCCTATAAGCAGAAAACAAAAACCAGGTCACTTGCCGTGGCCTTCAATGATAGCGAACCCCCGCCGGCTGAGCAAAATCAAATGTTTTTGATACGCCAGGGGTGGAGGAATAGCAGATACATAAGTAAGCCAACCCATATTTCCTTTCGCGGAGAGCAGACGTCGCTGGCTCTATGTAATTTCCTGTCAACTGTTTCATTCTGTTTGTCATGCTCTCGGAGAGTACAACCAAAAGAGTGTATGTTACAGGGTGATGTACACACGCAGGCAAGTTCTTGAATGAGACAGCCCTTTCGATTGTAATGAAGACGTGGGATTTAGAGGTGACACCTGTTTTGCGAGACGCTCTGGAGATTTAAGGAATTAGCATTTCTGGAGCACATAGTGATTGAGATTGTAGATGTTATACCTTGAGTTGTAGTATGGTTATTTGATAAGAATCTCACTGTAGGAAAGGGGGAAAACAGGAAAACACGCCTGTGTTCATGAAGAAGAAATGAATGGAAATCGAAGAAAGAACCTTTGTAAAAGAGCAGGGAAGTAACAAACTTTACCAAAAAAATTATTTGGCATAAACATTTGAAGAGTCTACTTGTAAATGGACTTATTTACATTGTAAAGAAAACAAAATCTAATTTACAAATACTGTGATAATATTTGAGAAAAATAAAGCTAAATTATATCTATAGAGTATAGAGAAGTTCCAATTATAACTAGATATCCAAATAAATTATGTTAGAAAATAGTAGAGTCTCTTGCAGTTACTACATGTAACACTAGTGTAAAGACAAAAAAGTTCATATGCGCATCTCCACATCATCATCATCTATTCTTTCATTCATATATTTCTTCATTCAATCCGTTCATCCATTGCATCACACGTTCAGTATGTTACATGTACATATCACTTTCAAACATGGCCTACTGTCCCATCACACAGCACATTTTCCAATTTGATCAAGTCCCAGGGCTATTGGCTCTCGACACTTCACAAGTTTGCAAACTCATGTCGCTACATTAGCCCCTCCGGGTGTTTGCTCCTCGAAGACACCCGTCTACAAGTGGTATGGTCAGGAAGGAATCGGTCTAGGGTGCGTTCAATCGACACTTTTTCACCCTAGAATCACGGTTTTCAAAGACGTTAAGTTTAAAACATGGTTGCGTTCAAGGGATTTTTTTTGTCAGTCGTAAAAATGAACGTGTTTAAAAACACAAACATGAGACGCTGAAAAAGATGCGTTTGTATCGCAGAATCATGGTCGCTAGAATTCGCTTGAATGAGAGAGATCTCAATCATGATTCTATGACGTCATAATCGTGGCCTGTTCCAATTTGACCGACAGTCGACCGTAAGCACAGACAGAGAGCATGTGGTGAAGTTGACCTATACTTCCTGGGTCAAACTGCACAGCGTGATGCGCAGTGGCTGAGCTTGAAATGAGCGAGAATCAGCGTTGATGAAAATTCGCTTAAACGCTCTCCCGCAGTAACCGTGTTTGTTAACTGCGTTTTGATTTGTGATTCATGTTTGTGATTGTAGCTTTAAAAAATAGCTTGAACGCACCCTACAAGTGGTAGGGTCAGGAAGGAATCGGGTTTAGTGGTGACCATGGGGGTGTTTACTCCACCTTAGATGAAAACTTGCCTCGTTTGGTATTAACCTTGTCAATAATAATTTTAAAGATAAGCCCATTGAGATATGATATTCATGTTTGAGCTTCATGTACTTGTTTGTGAATATATGGAACAGAAACCTCAGGTCTTCCCAAAAGTCCCTCCGTACTATCCCTCAAATAAACATGAAGTTCTACAGGTCAAACTCTTTCCAGAAACCTCAGGGCTTCCCAAAATTCTCTCAATTAAATACAAAGTTGTATGGGTAACGCTCTTTCCAGATTACATTAACAGAGTATCAGGTTTAACTGCCAGAATATATCGAAAATTTGTCTTAAATTTGTCTTTTTAGGAACGAGGGACATATTTGTTAAATGTGCTAAATAAATATGGCATATATTATTATTATTTATTATTATTATCATTACTTTTACTATTACTATTACTTTTACCATTACCATTACCATTACTAATATTATGCATTGTGCTGTGGAAAGAGTAGAGTCACATATACCATACACTGAAAGCCAGATTGGCAAGAACTCATATCATCATAACCTGATTAAAAAATATTCAAAAAATTTCTTTTCATCGAACCATAAAAGGAAAACATACAAAATAAGGAAATAAAATATATCAAACTTACAAAATACATAGCAAATATATATTATATCATGTTATACCCTTCTGGCTCTTAATCAGGTAATATGTACGGTAGTTCACAGTATTTCACTGCAGTATGAACTTGATCTTTTTTTTCTTCAATCCTATTAATAAATCATCGAAAAATATATCCATTGAAACCTGACATTTCAGTTTGTCACCTCTGTGGAAATTCCACCTGCTCAGTTGCTTACAAAGGTCAGTGTGTTAAACACTGGAATTGTTAGGATAAGGTACATCTATATAAAACCTATTTAGAATGACCACCTGTCTATAAGCTGCTTTTGTGTTTATCCAATATTTACTGTTAACAACTGAATTATTCATGCCCCTTGTAAATTTGATATTGTTTTTTTTTTTGTAACTCAATAATGAAAGGTGGGCTAGTTGCATTAGGACTTTTGTTGAATACTTTTAGATGTAAGCTTTAATATGTTGCATACTCATGACAAATCAATTTTTCACATACTCAAAAATGACTAAACTTCCAAGGGCCTTTATTAATACTTTTTGATGTACTGTAAGCTTTAATATGTCACATTCTTGAGAAGCATAAATCGGGACAAACAATTTTTAAGGGTACCTATAATTCAGTTGTTAATTGTGTATAAAAACCTTTTGAGAGTGATCTAAAAGCTATTTTTTTGTTCATCCAATATGTCAATGGAAACTGTATCAACATATTTAATTTGGCACAATTTGTTGGCCAAAAAGGGAAAGTTAAGTGTACAAAATCAATTAAAAAGGAAAGTACATTGTTGTTGTAAATACAGTACATTTCCACAGTCATCATTAATCTTCTTATACAAAAATGTATATAGAACTTGACATGTAATTACTTCTCTAAACATTACTCCTTTTTATAGCATTACTTGTCAAAGTAAAAACTATTATAAGAATTGAAAGAGACAGCTTGATTAAATACAAATCATACAATTTAATTGCTATTGATTTCAGTTATCAAACCTCTAGCATACTTCCTGCACAACAGGAACCCAGCAACACCCCAATCACAATTTGACCCCTTATCCGTTCGCTTGCCCCCCTGACCGTAAATCCCAAGCAGGAAGGGGGCTTTCCAATCACCATGGAGATTGGAGAGGGGGGTAAAGAAAGTAAGAAACTTCCCCCCTCTCTCAAAAATCATCCTCGATGATAGGTAGGAGCCCACAAAAAAAAGGGGAAATGGATTGCTTTTATTGCCTGGGACTATAAGTGATATTGATATCAGAACCCTATAAGTACTGTGACGAGAGAAGCGTGTTTTATATCAAGAGGGGCATGGTATTTGAATTTAAAGGGACTGGTTCAATTTAATTCAATTTTATTTTGCCAAAGTTAAAAGAAAATAACACACACAAATGGAATTGTATGTTGGTACAAACGAGAATGAATTACATGTATAGATATCGGTGGGGAAAAAGAGATGCTTGGGAGAAACACCTAGTACAACCATTCATTATTAACTTGCTTAGCATGTATGCCAAAGCATGCTTGTGGAATTTTCAAGAAAAGAAATAGATTAAATGTACTCAAACCTCATAAAATATGGACATCATTGGATATGTATGATATTAAAGAGAATTAGAATTTTTCATTCACATTTTTTATGGTAATGTTGTTTTGATTTTTGATTTCTTCAGTAAACTTTATCTAACTGTGATGAATAGATATCAACGATAGATGATAGGTATATTTATAAAAAAGAGTACCAGTACTGAACCTTTGATTATGTAATCACTAATTACAAAAGGCAACAACAAAAAACATCAAACAGACCTTTGTCGTTCCATTTATTGGCAGTGCACCAGGAAATGCAGTGATCTTGTTTTGCCGAGTTTTCAGATTACACTGTGTGTGCCTTCAATTTTCTTTGGTTTTTTAACTTTACTTACCGAGAAATATTTATATATAGAGATTTTATGAAGAGGGTTTTCTGTTTCTCCTTGTCATCATATTCCTTCCCTATTTCATGGTCATCTTCAATTTCCTCATGTACCTATCTACCTCCTCTATCTACCAGTTTAATACAACCTGTTTTCTGCTTTTCCCTTGTACGTCTATCCTTCCCAGTAGTTTTCTGTACATCTGGGGGGTGTTTCACAAAACTTGTCATCGGTGACAAATGACAATTCTTGTTATAAGCTACTGAAATCCTTGCTTCTGATTGGTTATCAGCAGATTTGTCACTGAAAGAAGGCTTTGTGAAACGGGTCCCTGATAGACCTTCTACATTACTGAAGTTTTGACAGAGGATATTAGTATGACAAGGAGGTCAAATTCACTTGATGACATTGCATTTCTAAGATAACAAACAAATTAGGATGATTTAATTAGGATTTGTTCTGCTTCATGTTTATGGGCAATTACCGATACTCTTTAATTAATTTCATGACTACTGACTTTATCAATGCCTTAACGACTTCTGTATTGTCAGTATAAATAGCTGTAATACTCACGTGATGATAGATAACTTATCAATGATTTGGTGGTCATGAGATCTCTTGGAGAAGATAATATTGGATATTTCACAACTTTGAACCATTGTCCACAGTATAGATAAATACATAGATACAGTTATCAATAATCTAATTTGTTTGCGGTCACAATTAATATTCTAAACTAGTAATACTGCCACAATTGTCTGCATTGACGAACGATTTGAGATCAATTAAGATCATTAATTGTCAAAATTATTTCAAACTCTCAACCATGGCTACAAATTCCTTGAGAGAATCGAGATATCATATATTTCCCCGTCCAGGGCTAACAGCTGCTAGCGGAAGCAAACCTTTTCCCTGACTTCCCCTTCGATGTAAACTTCACAGTAGTTACAAAATCTATTGCAAAATCTCTATGGAATTAAAAGACCAATAAGGCCAGAGAGCTCAACGATTTAATCGCTATCTATACTAGTGGTCATCCGCATAATCCAGCCAACTGCCCACGGACCGTGGCATCAATAATGTTCATCTTTACTGCGTTCCTTGTCTGTGGGGCTAGGACTTTGAGCGCAATTTTAAAGTTCCCTTCCGCGGAAGGAAGTGTTGACAAGTTATGTTACTTGATTTGCACAACAGCAGCCCACGGTGTTAAATGAGTTATCCAAGCCAGGCTTAGGTTTAAGATGGTTAAGGGGAAGGGGTACCTGCGGTTTGTCCTATGTTGGGCTAGGCAATATGGAAAATTTACAGGGAATATGTCGATTGGAATTTAAAAAAAAACTTATGAACAGTTTATTTTTTAAATTAGTCTGGATAATTGATGTACATATAAGTGTATGTATATACATTTTTTCTTAAGTTTCACTACAGAGGGTGACCCATATGATTTCTTTAAAGCCCCACTGCACTAGTTATAGCAACTTGCGACCTTAATAGCAAACAATGCCTAATCGGTGCCCATTGGTCCCCAGTGGTCCTTTTTCTTATGTTAATTGAGAACTGAGTTGATGAGATAACCACCTGTCAGTGACCTTGCAGGAGGTCTGATCCCCCTGGCCAAACTAGTGCAGACAGGCTTTAAGAGCATGTTCCAATTCAGCCAGAAGTTTGCTTTAAACATTTCATTGGAGAATATTGTTTTTAAAAAGTTTTTAAAATCTTCTGTACAAATGAAAATAGAGAAAACCACCTCACATTGGAAAGTAACACTTGCCAGTTAGTTTAATGATCTCCATTTCAAGATTAGCGTACTTAAATTTTCTAAATATTTGCTCTCATATTTCTATATTTATTTATGTCATTGTGATATCATGGCTGACTTCGGATGTATAGTTCATATTATCAAAATTGTGAACCTAACCTAAATTTGACATGTCATACATTTTAATCTCAACAAGATGTTTTAGATTTCCCATTCTCAGCTGCAGAATATGAACTTGCTGTTCTGCTCTATCAAAAGCATTATTCGTTTTCTGAAATTGAGGCAAGCAAATATCTGCAATTTAGTAATGGTACAAGTATTTTCAGATCATACCCTAGAGGAAAAGATGTTGGTGCAGAGGAAAACGGAACCACCAGTCTGTAAAATTGACCCTTAGGCCCAATTAGCCAATGTCATGGTTAAAGAGATTCATTTCATGGTTGATAAATGGTCTGTCTGTTTTAAACGCTGAGATCTTCATTACAATCCCGCGTTTACGATCAGGTGCGAGGCAAGAGAAAGTTGTGAAAAAATGAAATTGGTGCTGAAAAATATGAAGAGTATGAAATAGGCCAATTTGGCAGCGTGAGAAATTAAAGTTTTTTTCATCAGTTTTAGCTAGGTTCATGGAGATGTAGGTTAGACCATATATTTGGTAGAAGTGCTCCCCTTCCCCCACCCACACAAAAAGGAAAACTTTGCCAACTAAAGGCATTTTAAAGGGATCGTTTAACAATGTTAAATCTGAGATACACGGTCCTACATGTTATCAGTGTCTGTGATATGGTGTAACCTTGAAGCCCTAAAAAAATCGCGCTTCAAAATGATCAAGAAGTGCCTCAAAAAAGTAAAAATCTTTGAGTGACCGGTTATACCATACTTGTTTTTCCCAATAGACTGTAGTGTTATGAAAACCGTCAGGCGAACAGTTTTCAAAATTTGTAATTCCAATCATAAATATCTTGATAATCGGACAGGCGATCGGCTTGTAAAAGTCATGGGGTTCCTGACTGACCTAAAGGTTTATAATTATCATTGCATCATGAGCTAAATCCAGAATTTTATTTCAGAATCTGAGACAAAGTTACCGGATCCCTTTAAGGGTTATCGGGAGGTATGTCCTCTTTTATATAGTGAAGCCTGTTTTAGAAGCCACCTGTGTTGAAAGACCACCTGTCTATAAACAAACAAAAAAAAGTTTTGTTTTGCCCGAACAGTCGTACTCATTAAATCCTCATTAAAAAGACTATAGGAACATGTACATGGTTTGTTTTACCCGACTGCTAAGAAAGCATGTGTGTGCTTGTAAATAAGCAACCAGGAGACTCACAGCTTTAAGTCCTCTGCAATAGACTTGATAATGAGGATTAATACCTATATCTTTTGAAAAATACGATGTAAAGCTACTACTGTAGCTTTCCTTGAATAGCCTTCATAACCCAGTACCCAGTCACATGAATTACAAGACATCTAAAGATAAAAGAATTAGGTAGTTGAATGTTACATCGAAGTAAAATGTTTACCCTTTGTTCATTACTACATTTTCTTTCTTCCACCACCCTTGACCATACAGAAATGAACCGTCATCACTACGGCCTGTACGTCCACAACTGTCGGCTGGTGTTCGTCTCGCGTCAGGAGACGGGTGATGGTTTCTACCCCTCCATGTACCGGTGGAAGCTGAGGCAGGTGTGCGACCAGGAGTGGCATCGCTACACCATCAACGTAGAGGAATTACAGGTGTGTAAAACTTTGGTCTGTTGTATGCTTTGGTCATGGGTTAGGAAGGGGTTAGGGTGGATGATGTTTGTCTCATGTCAGGGTTGGTTTCTCCCCCTCCATGTACCGATGGAAGGTGATGCTTTTGAAAATAATGATGGTGATGATGGTGATGACGATGATGGTAATAATGGTAAGGATAATGATGTTGATGGTAATGATGATGACGATTGTAGTGGTGATGATGATGATGATGAACGTGATGATGGTGAGTTGATGATGATGAAGAGGAGGAAGAATAGGGGTTGATTCAAGAATGAAGATTAATGATACTAGTGGTGATGTTGATACTAGTGATGATATACAGTAGGCTTGGGGGTGCAGCATGTGAGAGAGAGGGAAGATTGAGCAGTCCTGAAAATGTGATGATATGATAGTGATGATGTGTTATGAATACTGTGATAGAAGTCACATTGTAAGTCACTCTCTATTATCACATTTTCATACTCCTTTAAGTACCACCTCACTTTCATTCTGTGTAAAGTAAGCATGAAAAACAAGACAATGAAGATGGAGAATAGGTGAAAACAGATTTTAGTAAGGACTGTTTAAATACCCGTGTTACACATAAACTGTTTAACATTTTCTTCCTGTTTTACCATTCAGGCCTCCTTGTTCATTGACGGAGAAGCTCAGATCGGTCCGAGAGTATCCGAGGATTGGCCTCTCCATCACACCACCACTCCTACATCTACAACTGTAGGAGCTTGCTTTAAGGGTATGTATCAATAAGCATCCTTGAAGTTATTGTCTTGGTCAAAGTTAAATTTTTAAGTGGTGATACAGAAAACTTTCATCAGTTGGGGATAATGATAAAATGTATTTTTCAATGCTTCTACCAACCTTGAATGTGTTGTGCAAGCTTTCGTCCACTCCTGTGGACTTTCTCAAGCTAAGTCGTGTGACTCAGACTGTTCATTTAGCTTGAGAAAGTCCACAGGAGTGGACGAAAGCTTGCATAACAAATTCAAGGTTGGTAGAAGCTTTAAAAACTACATTTGTTTAAAGTGGTGTTAGATAATGTATCTGAGGATTGTCCCCTCAATCATAATAGAGTGCTGTTGATTTTCACAACCAACGTGATCTACGACGTAGAACTGGCACTGAGACCTTCTGCGCATGTGTCAAGTTGAGGACTGCGTTGTCGCCTGGATTTTACGACCGCAATCAGGGTAAATCTATATTGTGGTGAAAACAAGAACTTTAGCTGCATACTTGTCAAGTTGTAAATAATCTTTGGATTTAGAAGGTGTGAGTCTAACCAGTAAATTATCTTTTCTCCCTGCAGGAGCTCAGGACAAGTTTGCCAACTATTTCCAGGGCTACCTAGCCGGTCTGAGCGTCCTACCCGGTCAGATCGAGACCCCCGAGGTGGTCAGCTGCATGGTCAGATGCAAGGAGGGTCTCTCCTTCAACGTCGGTAACCTGCCGGTCAGCGTGGCTCGCATCAACACTGCCCGCACCAACCTTACTCTCTCCGTAAGTCTCAATACGATCTTGTCAATGTCGGACAAAACAGTCATCGGTCAAATTTTGTGAACATTCCATTGAAACAAATGTTCTGAACTGATCACAAATTTCAGGGGGTTGTCCGCAAACTGAGGCTTATGATGACTTCAGTAAGCCTTGCCCAGAAAACTAGAATTTGCTGGTTCCCTCGACAAAATGGAGGGGGAGATTGTCAATTGGGAATATCCAATTTGTAACGAAGCGATTAAATGCAACTCTACTGTCTCTGGAAGTTTGGATATGTCTGAATATGGAACTAAACAACCTTAATTGAGAGGATAGATAGTTCAAGAATATAAAAACAAAACAAAACAAAACAAATAATGTGATTCTCATATTATGAAAAGATGGGGAGTTTGTCTCATCTCTTTCAGTATAAAGTTATGATACAGTGTATATTAGCAACAGACAAAAAATGCAACCACCAATAATCCTGCGAGATGATAATAGGAATACACGTAGCAGATTCTTATATTGAGAACAATACATCACAATTCATTCCATAGGCTGCTGCTAGAGTACCATTGAAAAAACACCAATTAATCAAGCACGTTTGTTCCAGTTGATTCTCCTTTTGTGAACAATATTCTGGGAAGATACTTTGTTGATTAGTTTGTTTGATTACTGAGAGACTCTTTTGTCAGATATTCATTGTGTCTTTGACTGAGATGAATAATTGGTTCATTTCAAGAATGACTTACTCTCACTATCTTCAGAAGATAAAAATAACTTCATAAATTACGAAAATTATTTTTTCAAAACAATTCTGTCGGGAGAGGATGTTCTGTGAATAGGGATTTTGTTTGCCCAGTGTTACAAATGATTTATGTGGTTTGTTCGTATTGCATAATAAAAGAGATCATATATGACTCTTTTTTCATGTGTAAAATTTGCAATGATTTGTTAAATTTTGTTTGTTATATATTTGTAAAACTGCAAAAGAAAAAGAAAATCAAACAGAAATAAATAAATCAAATCAAATCAATATACCCCTTCTAGTAATGATCATAATAATGGTAATACTAGTAATATTGATGATTATTACCTTGTACATTGTATTATAAAATAATAATAACTTGTTTTTCTTTTTTTTTTTCTCACCCAGGGTGAACTGACGGAGCAGTTTTCCAGCGTACTGCAGCAGGTTGGCTATATCAATGAAAGGACCTTCCCCACTCAGGGTCGACGCCCTCTTACCATCTCTACCAAAGCCAGGTAGGTTCAGTCATAAATGTATCTCTTCTGGATAGGGACAAGGGACATATAGTGAAGATGAATATATTCAGGTGGTATTTGTGATGATAGTGATGAATGTGGTAGTGGTAGTAGTTTATACTCTTACCATCTCTACAAAAGCTAGGTAGGTTCAGTCATGAAGTTATCTCTTTTTTTTTATAGGGACAAGGGACAGAAAGTGAGGATGAATATATTCAGGCGGTATTTGTGGTATGGTGATGAATGTGGTAGTTGTACAGTGAAACCTGCTTTTGCAACCACCTGTATAGAAAGACCACCAGTACATGAAGACCATGTGCCTATAAAGACCACTTTTTGTGTTTCCCTTGAGTGGTCGCTATAGACAGGTTTTACTGGAGTAGTTAATACTAATGAAGATGGGGAAGTGTATTTGGAGTGATGTTTTTTGTAATGCTGATGGTCCAACATAGGGGTACTGGTGGTGATGATGCTGGTGCTGGTTTAGTAGTAACTATTGCGATGATGGTGGTGGTAGTGGTGATACTGTTTGGGTAGCAGTGATGTGATAATGGAGCTGATGATGATGATGATGATGATGATTATGATGAGGATTAAGACTAATATGGTGTTATTGTATTGGTGGTAGTAATGATAAAGATCATGGTAGTACTATTATTAGGTGATGGTGACCATGATCACGATACATTTCGGGCTATTAAAATCCTTTTCATCTCCACCAATACAATACGCTAAGCCAAGTATCACCATTCTTCACTCTGTAAACAATCAGTCCATATTAAACATCCAACACTAAACACAGCGCCACTAAACATGTGTCCCAAAGGATTCTTCATCCTAATGTCAACGAGAGGCAAAAGTTTTCAAATTTAAATGCCTACTTCCAAGGTATATTTCCAAGGTATATATAACACATTACTCCTCCATCTCCGTCCACAGCTGCAATGGAGTTGAGATCGTCATCCCGGACGTCTCCTCTTACGTGATGGTCCTCCACCCCCACGAACCTACCATCAGCATCACTGGCTCCCAGGCGACCTCTCAGACCGTTGCTAACCTCGTGGCAGGCATCGCGCCCTTCAAGACCATCACTATCGTCAGCATCATGACAGAGCAAGAAGAGGAGGAACTTGGTGCAGGTCGGTCGAACATAACCTTCAATTTTTGTTTCCTTTAAAGCCCCACTGCACTACTGCTAGCCACTTGCGCCCTCTATATAGCAAACAACGCCTAAGCGGTGCCTGTTGGTCCCCCATGATCCTCGTTTTCTTATGTTAATATCCAGAGCTGAGTTGATGAGATAACCACCTGTCAGTGATCTTGCACTGTTGCAGGGTGGTCTAATCCCTCCTGTAAACTAGTACAGATGGGATTTAAGCCTGTCTGCACTAGTTTGGCCAGAAGGGATTAGACTTCCCTGAGTGGTCACTGACCGGTGGTTATCTCATCAACTGAGCTCTCAATTAACACAAGAAAAAGGGGATCATGGGGGACCAACAGGCACCGACTAGGCATTGTTTGCTATATAGAGGGCGCAGTAGCTATAAGTAGTATAGTGGGGCTTTAAAGGACACTATCATTTAGACTAAGATTTGACAATAACATTTCCTTATTTGGGCTCCACTAATAATATTTCAGGCTTATCTTCCTGTCTAGTGCTAGTGTTTACACAGCTTTACTTTGCAAGTAAAACCCCAAAATGCATAAATTTGCATAATACTTGCTTCATATGAAGTGCTTCATAATAAGCTGAAGTGAGTTCTGAGTGATCAAAATTAAAAGCGCAATTCGACCTTTAAAAAAAAGACCTAAATAAAAGAAAGAAAGAAATGTTTATCAAGATTTGTCAAGATGTTTTATTTATTTTCTTTTCTTTTTCCTCTTCAGATCAACAAGAAGTGACAGGTGGCGATACCCCAGCCCTCATCACCCACAATCTGGACTCCTGCAGTGCACTGGTCAAGCAGGGCAGGCTTGTGGACGGAGAGACACTGACCATTGCAGAGGATATCCTGACACAGCATGGCCTGACCGTGGTCAACTCTGAGAATGGAATCGTCATCAAAGGTAAGAAAAAAAAAAACTTCCTGAGCTAATGATAATGTTCTTATCTTGCTTCTCTCTAAACAAAAAAAACACATCAAAAGTACATGCAACACTCATCTTTCAAGCCACTTATTCTAGACCATAAACACCCTGCCTTGTTGGGACTCTCGCGTCCACGCTACAAGGGCGAGCGGAAACAGGAACGTCTGCGTGGGCAGGAGGGACCTTGGAGGGGTATTTTTGGGAGGGGAGAGGTCGGAGACAAATTGCTTCCTGTGTCAAAAAAAAATGCCATAGTCACTGTCAAGGTCTATACAAATCATTCTGACCAAGGCCTCTGTTAGGTGTAGACGTGGAGCAAAGTGCTTGTCACCTAAGGTATTTTTGAAGTGATTAGTTGATAGTCATGGATAGGATTTTGCTCGACTTTAATTGCATTTCATGTAAAACTTATATTCAACATTTGAATATGGTGTTAAAACTACTTTGATTCTTGATATGGCTTGGAATAGCAAAAGAAAAAGAGAAAGCTTTGAATGTTTGATAATGGACACTGGGTTATGAGAACTCTTTGTGAACAAGTCTATAAGTACAGAAAGAAATGAATATATGCTTTTTGTAGACTATGAGAAAGCGTCTGATAGGGTAAACTGGGTTAAGCTGCTGGATGTGTGGAGACATCCAGAAGTCGACTGGAAGGAAAGAGGCCTCACCAGGAACTTTTACTCAGGACAGACAAGATTTTTAGATGAACAAAAATTGTGGTCTTTATAGACAGGTAGTCTTTCTGTACAGGGGGTTGCTATAGCAGGTTTAAGTGTAGATGTAATGTGGCTTCATACTCAAGAATAGGTTAATTCAAATGTATATACAGTCAAATCGGTCTATAGCGGCTGCCTAAGGGAAACACAAAAAGTGGTCTTTGTAGACAGGTTCCTGTAGTACATTTTTCAATGAGAAACAATTTTCAAAGAAAACAAAAAATGTGGTCTTTGTAGACAGGTGGTCTTTCTATACAGGTGGTCTTTCTATACAGGTGGTCGTTAGAGCAGGTTTGACTTTAATATGAATTAACCATCTTTTGTTTTTGTTCTCTTTGCTTCGTTACAGGACTTGCCACATTGAAAGATTACCAGAACGTCTTGAGGCAGATCTCCTACTCCCAGGTGGCGTCCGGTAAGAACCAAGATCGTCGTCTCACCCTGCACTGCTCTGAGCTCAATGGAAGATTTGTCAGCAATGACTTCGATGTCAGGGTACGTCATTAAATCATTTAATCCTTATTTGAAAAGTATAAGCGGGGTGGTGATAGTAGCTCATTGTCTAGGCAAATATGAAAATTGATATTCAATATGTTACTTTATCATGATTATTATTATATTTATTATGTCTGTTTTTACTTGATTTTAAATTAGTATTGAGAATGGGAATCATGTTTCCTGACTTACAGACCAAATTTTACTTCCTTTCAGTAGTGATATAGTTATATTTTTTACTGTAATAATTGACCGTTTTAGTGACCAATGTATGTAGATAATCAGTGAAAGAAACATATTGTGTGCCAAAAAACAGAAAGGTACTGGCTTAAATTGGGGTCCACTGAAATATCAGCAATTTTTTTTTCAATTTGTTCTGATCATTTTAATGCAGTTTTTAGTTTAAATTTGATTTGCAACAATAGTTAAAAAAAAGAAAAGGGAATTTTATTATTATTTTTTTATTTTTAATGTAGCCACAAGAGAGTAAAATAGTGTAGCTTAAACAAAAAAGGTGATTAATATATAGAGTATTATCAGTTTCCCTTTGTTTGTTTTAATTTTTTATATGAAATGTCAATATTACAACCTTACTGGTTCTCCACAAAAAACATCATCCCGAACAAGACTATTTCATAAGATAGATAAATTGTACGGACAGTTTTATTTTGAGGTTGTGTTGCAATATGGTTAATCAATTTCCTCTTCTCTTTTTCATTCTGTCCAGATTGGAGTACTTCATCAGGCGATGCGTGCCCTCAACAAACCCAGTCATGTCAAACAGTCTGTAATGTTCAGTCATAGCAACGTTAGAGTGCATGATAAACTCAAGGAGAACTCCCCCAAGCATATCACATCCAAGAACGCAGTATCAAGTAAGTATAGTCAAGTCTGCTAAACCCTTTTCATCTTCATAAGGGCTAAGTTTGATCTACCAAAATTGTGGTATTGTTTTAACATTCAAGATAAACCTTGTTTTCCTCCCAGAGCTCTAATCTGGTAAAGCCCAGTACACAAATTAATTCAATTTCATCCTGGCTTCTTTCCCCCCAAGTGCTTCATGATGACCTACATTTATAGCATTCACCTGAAACTAGGTTATTGGCTCTGGTTGGTCAAAAATCGGGTTACGTATGTTAAATGTTGTTGGTACTTTATTTCATATGGTAACGACTGCATCCATGAAGAGAGTATACCCGATGATCATGTCGGGTCGATGAGACCACAAATAAAAGAAATTTTATCGTTACTCTGTGATGTTTGTTCACATATGTGGTGCAAAATGATTAAATACCTGTGCACTGTGCCAAATTTTTGGAATCAGATCTTTTTACACAATCTGGAAAACAGCAGCCGTCGGCTTTCAATTGCTGTTCTGCTAGCTTCATCAGACCCTACACCAATTATAAGAACCTCCAGAGAATCTCGTAAATCATTCTCGCTCCATCTATGTCTCGTTACAGGTACAGCAATGGCCATCGTGGTGGTTCTTTGTGTTGGGTTCCTGCTCTTCATGATCGTCCTGGGCGTGTTCCGTATCTACTCCGCTCACAAGGCAAATAGAGCCTTTGATGGACAGGACATGGACTGGGATGATTCGGCCCTCAACATCACGGTCAATCCTATGGAAGGGGTAAGTCACAGAAAGAGATAGTTGTGACTCAAAGACGTAACTCCATTTTGGCCATTTTGAGAAAAAGTGGTTTAAGAAGTTACGTCTATGTTTCAGTAGCCATTGACTTCAGTGGGGTGTTGGGTGGCGTTAAGTCTTTGTATTTCCTGGAAAGCCCACATTTTCCTGAACATTTTGGCAAAATATGGAGTTACGTCTTTGTGTCTGAACCCTTGACATATTCTGGTGACGATTGCTTCACAGTCAGTAACCTACCCTAACCCAATATTTTGGCTTTTGATGGTTTTTATCTTGATTTTCTGCATTTCTGAATGTTTCTTGCCATATCCCGTCATCTGTAATATAGGTCAACTAGAGGTACTAGATTCTTTATTTTTTGTGAAGGTTATATCCATGGAAGATATCTTATACTCGGTTCATCAATGAAACTATATTTAATGATTTTACTCTTGAAGTTCATCAATGTTGGTTGCTTTAAATGGACAGATTCTGGTTCAAGTATTGAATCCCATGACCAGGATAATAATAGCATATCTATAAAGCGCTTAGAGACATCGTAGATGTATTAAGCGCTATATAAGAAATATTATTATTATTATTATTCTTCTAGGACTTTACAATATATGCTTGTTGATGCTCTATTCATCACAAGAAAAGCAAAGCTTTCATTCCCAATCTTGTCTCCTCCCCCTCTGCAGCCGATCGCCACAGGAGAAACGGACGAGTCGAGCGAAGACGACGACGAGGATAGTTTGGAGGACGAGAGTTCAAGTTCAGAAGAAGAGGAAGAAGAAGTTTGCGTCGAAATCAAAGGGACGCCCTTAGAGTGGGACGATTCAACGATGAAATTCTGAGAATGATCCCATCGTATTCCCTTGTAAAATCCCTCCTTCTCTCGCTCAGTCAATCCTCGCCTCTCTCAGAGGTTTTTTTTCTCCCCCGTTATCTTTAAGCTCCTCCATTTTTGTTTTTGCTGAGTTTCATCTTGTTTAAACTTTGCAATTATATCTTTCTCCTCCTAAATTCAAAGCATTATTATATTGTACAAAGAGTGGTTGATTTTTTTCGACAAAGATCTTTAATTTTCACTTCATGTTTTAATGGTCTGTAATCGTGCAAATCGATAGCTATTGTGAAAAGTTTGTGTGGTTTTTATGCTCATTTGTTTAAAGATTGTGTATGAATATTTGGTCGTTTAAAGACCAAGTTTGTTTTGAATCTGTTATAAAAAGTATTGTTATTTTAAGACCTAATCTGTGACACATCAAAGGCTGAATTGGATATGAATTTAGCGATAATGAGTAAATTAAAGCACAAACATTCATTTTGGTGATTAATCAATATAGAAAATGTGTGAGGTGTTGAACGTCGGTGGAGATTTTTTCTGAATACCTCATTACGTTACATAAGGAAGCCAACTAGAAAGTTAGATTGAAATACACATATTTTCCTGCTCTACCTATGTATGGACCATAGACGTCACCTCATATTTGGTTGTGTAACAGATGCTCTCCATGTTTTACCATCGAGCAAGCCGATGTATGACAGACAATTCAAACTGCCCTCTCATCTTACCGTACCTCTCCAAAAACTACCATTTCAAATGCCGCACTCGAGATTCGTTGGCGATTTTTTAAAAGTTGTAAATTGATTTTTGACCGATTATATATTAATGTATTTTTTGAGAAGACAAAAAAAATGTATGACTATATCGTATCATTATCTTGTAATTTATGCTGTACTACATAAGATGAAAAAAGTAGCATTTTTATGGTATTGTGAGAAAATAATTATAATACGTAGCGTTGGATGGTGTAGTTATTTAAAGAAAAAGATAAACGCAATAATGATTATGGCTCCTTGCGGTAGAGTAATTAGATGTTCAAAAACGCATATTAGCTTAGAAAGAATTAAGTGGACACGTTTATTTTTGCTGGATTTATATAATTATGATTTAAATCCTCAAAACTAAGTTCATGCTCTTTATACCTCATATCAGGACAGTGAATCCTCTTCCTTATTAAGATTCATAATCATGAAAGAAATAACTTCTTTTAAAAATAGAAAATGATATTTATTTCTACCATTCATTTGATATTCCATGTTTTTCCTCCATTCTTGTAATATTAATAGGAACCAGTATTTTTGTGACTTACTTTGAAAATAGAGCTATCCTCAAACATAAAACCATGTATATAAATCCTAAAATCTTAAAGTTATATGTAGCCTTTGAATTTTAGCGGCAGAAAGCCTCATCTGTAATTCTGGTAAAACTAGATTTAGTCCAAATTTTTCACTGCTTCATTGATGTGTTGGCACTTGTGTGTTCAATTTTGTTTTCTTGTTCTTATTATTGCGTTGGTTTTCAACTCAGCCATAGAGCATTATTGTACTGGCTTCTTAAAGAATCTACAAGGGATAAAAAAAAAAATGACTGAAAGTATTATAAAAAGATGTTGCAGTAAATATTATATTTGTGTACAAATATTTGTATGGATGTGATTTTTTCCCATTTATCTTAGCCATTTACGTGTGTATAAAAGACAGATGTTGTAAATTGAATAAGGGAGTTATATGTTCACTTGGTTTTCACGTTCAGTTTTTAACGTTTCATCAATGTTGTGAGGTTTGTTCTTTTTCACCGACAATCGTAATTGATAGAACGCAGTTGTGTTTACACCGAGTGTTGCATATTCCTTGTTTCATCAATATCCCACCACAGAAGTTCATTATTATCTAACTTGAATCAGCATTTTTGTATCATAGCGAGTACTATGGCTGTGTTATCACATTTTGGCATACAACAGTTGTCTCATATAGTTTTGAGGCGTAATTAATCAATCAATCAATCACTTTTAAGGGGGTAGAAGATTATAAACATTGAAGGTTAGTGAATGAAAAATAGTGATTGTTGGTCAAAATATTCAAATTACTTTCACTCCTTCTTCGCTGTGTTTTTATGCTTTTAAATCAATAACGTAGAGAAGATATTTGGTTCATATTGCTTATATACAATCATCTCTGAAATTGGACATCATAAATGGTTTTGTTTGGGCTCGTTGGCGGGGAATAAAGGGAGGAACACATGATAAAGTGCTACCATTTAATTATGCACATGCAATTTTCTATGTGTTTATATTGTGAATATGAATGACTAAGTATCTCATTGTGTACATTTGGTTGACAACACAAAGCTATAGTGCTACCGTTGTGTCTGTGGGTATTAAAAGTTGTAAATAAATCTGATTAATTATTATGTGTCTATAGATAGAGGTCTGTAGTTTGCACTGGAAAATTTATGGAATTTCTCTCGGTCATTACTCGATAACAGCATAAAATCGAGTTTTATATAAAAAAGTACTTTTATTCTTTTTGTCTCACATATTTTCCTTTTCGTACATAAGCCAACATTTCAATATCAATTATACTTTAATATTTACAAACAGTTAACACATGTAAAGATGAAATTATTTGTAATTGGTATCTAAATTCAATCTGCACATAGATCTTGTTACATATTGATTTTGTGAATGGTTTTCAATCAGTGCTTTTTGTGATAAATATCAGTGCTTTCAAACTGAATATTAAAAAAAAAAAAGATATTGCACAAATATATTAAAAGGTTAATTCCAGCGGTGAGCATGGCTGCAATGATATTAGTACTGGGTCAATTGGGCAGGGATCTACATAACATGGTGTATTAAATAGTAAAACGGGTAAATCAAGGTTCCCATTATCGATTTGGAAGTGCAGGTTAGTACAATTCCAATGTAGCTATGAAAGGGCCATTCCCTTTTGACAGATGATGATTAATGTAAATTGTTCCCAAATTGGTCTTTTTAAGATATGGAAATGCATTGGAAGTTATGATACTACCGATCCAAGAAAAATCAGTGCCCATACCTCGGTCACACGGACAAGACCTTTTCCCCATAAAAGTTAATTGCGACCAATTTGGGAACAATTTATGCTTTACTTATGTCAAATGGGATTGAACCTAGGGCTACTGGTGGAAGGCACAAAATTTAGCTCATATTTTCATGTACATGTCATGGAAGGTTGTTGCTTACGCTATGAAAGTAAAAGCTGTATGGGATTATTTGAAAGCGAGAAAGGCTACGAGGAGGCAATTTCAGACTTTACTGGTCATTGCATGGGCTCATCTGTTATCAAAAAGTTTTACAGGAATGAATGAATAAATATTCTAGATTTCTGGGTATTCAGTTCAAGAGAGAGACAACGGAGAGAGAGAAAAGACGATTTATTTCAGTCGCGACGAGTGTGTAAATGGACGGATTTTTTATGTAAAGTATTGCTGTTGGGTATTACCTGTACATGTAAATAGGATCTGTAGAATGAAAATTTGTAGAAAAAGATTAAAGAAGAATGATATTTCCTCACTGCTCAACTAAACAGATATATCAGGGTCTAAGTTGTACAGTACATCAAATAGATTCTGGGTCATGACAATTATGCATTTTGCCGCAGTAGTCAATAAAATCAAAACTATCAACACTATATCTTGAACGAGTTGTAATGCTGTCTTTCTGTGTGCATTTTTTTATCTTATTGAGTGAGTGTTATGCTAGACTTCAACACTTGTGTGTTCTGATGAAAAATAAAAATGCTCTTATACGATACCACCATATTACAAACACCACATATACAGACGTTATATTATTATTTCCCTTTCAGAGCAAATTAAAACCTCATTTTACGCACCCCTTCAAATTACAGGTCAATGGGGGTCAATTTTGCCCGAGCTATGGCGACGACAGATCATATAGCCGAAGTGATGAGCCGTGCTTAATAATTGCAAAGTCATCGCGAAAATGCATACTCTACATAAGATGTCATCAAAACGATAGCTAGTTTTTAGGTCCACAACTTCTGATTTTCAAAGCTATAGATTTCGTTGATATCAGTCGATATAATTTTTTCAATGTAATCTTCACTTCTGAACAATGTTACCAAGGAGAGAGAGAAGAGGGTGGAATGTAAAAAGAAGGAGCACAAGGTCATTCTTCACATGGGAATATATTTTTTGACTATTTTCTGTATTTTTATGATATTTCCTGGAAAATGGACAAAAAGATATGTTTAAGGCTTAATATTCAGAACAGATTTTAAAAATATATTCATAGTTAAAAAATTATTCATTATTTTCCGACTAGTTTTATTTGAGACTATCATATGTTGATAAGAGGTTAAGATAGGGGGCAGCACATGACAGGTTCTTGAGCCATTCTTGCTTTCGTTGAATACAAGACAGAGCGTCATGTATAAAGTACAGGCAGCATATAGCTTTGTCAAATACAGTCATACCTGCTTTAGTGACCACCTGTTAACAAAGACCACATTTTTTGTTTCCCATGAAAATTGTTTCTCATTGAAACATGTACTGAAGGAACCTATCTACAAAGACCACTTTTTGTGTCCCCCTTGGGCAGTTGCTATAAACAGGTTTGACTGTATAACTATTGTGTATTATATATAACGTACCATCGATCACTGACATAAACTTTCATAAAACCAATACAAATATAAATATAAGGTCATATCAAAACGTTTTATTTACATATAAATGGGTATAACTAAACACAAATCAATAGCATTTTTTGTACATTTCATATTCCATTTATAAACAATGTTTGCAAATATTCACATTTGTTTTCCTCTTCTGACATCATGGAATAAGTAAGGACCCCAAAGCAAAAAGAACAGTTAGCTCATTTCCGCTGTATTGACAAATTATGACCTATCTGCAATGTAGCAAGTTTTAATTACATCATCTTATTCATGTAAAACACTGGTTGCAGAAACAAAAGCAATGTACTACATGCACATTTTTATATGCTACTTTTAACACTGTAACATATTACTTTCTAATTTATATTTAGTAAAAACAAACTCCA